TATCGGTATGACTCTGTAATCTTTTATCCCCAAGCGCAATGATTCTGCCCCAAATGAAGAAATGATTGTGGTAAAACTCTTTATTGTCAAAGGCTTTTCGAGAGTGTACCTAAATAGACATGTAGGCTAAGAAAAACTGTTTCGAATCATAGAAAAGAGGACTGCACAATTAGGTTGCTTTCGCATTTGTCAAGAGGTAATTTTGTTTCTATGTTTCCCGAGCTTTGTTTTTCCCGGCTTTGTAATGTTGTTCTGCTCCAAAATATAGGGACCCCAAGCATCATATTAAGGAGCTGTGCCTCTACTTTGTTTCAGTGTGCTTCTATTTTCTTGTGGTTTGGCTATTAGTCTATTTACTTATTTTCACCATCTAGAGCCTGCACATGCTGTCTAAGCTTCTATTTTCTAAAAGAGATTGTAAAATCTCCTACAGATCAATGGGTGGCAAAAGAAAGAGGAAAACATGTGATCTAATTTTACATGAAGGCTGTATAATAAAAAAAAGTTCAACAAGTTTGAATTCATCTCTATATATGAATAGAAGCATGGATGTAAGTGTGAGAAACCTGGTATCCTTTGAAGAACCCCCAACAATTCCAAGATTGATACCCATAGAAAAGACTTTTAGAAACACTTTTGAAATTATTACCCTACCTGTTAATGAAGTAAATCTTGGAAATGGAACTGAAAGCATGGAAAACACTAAACATTTAGGACTCTTGCAAAACAACATAGATGGTAAATGTAAAGTAGATTATATTGGACTCATGGATAAACATTGTGACTATTGTAAAGCTTTTCTTTTTGCTTCAGAAACACAATCACAATGCTGTCATGGTGGACGTGTGTCTATATCTTGTAAATATTGAGGGACCAAGCTCAATATCGGGGGGGGGGGGGGTTCTTAATACTTTTAAGTGCAAGCCAACATATGAGTTTTTCATACCAGGCTAAATATGCTCAACAAGAAATATATAAAAGTTCTTATTTTATGTTTATCCAGCATAAATACATACATTATGATTAGTTTCTCAACTAGTGTAAGTAATAAAAGAGAATGACTTAAGAAATGATCCAAGAGATCAAATATAGAGGGAAAACACACATGAATAAGAGTGCACCCCTTTTTCCAACTAGTTAAGGGTTTTTGGATACTTAGAGTTAAGTGTCTTTGGGTTTAAATGGTACTGAGCTAAGTGACCTCTTAAGAAGTCCAAATTCATAATCTTACAACATGGTATCAGGAGGGCTCTCAAGTTTGACACTGTTCATTGGCTAGGGGAATTGCAGCACATGTTATTTGACATTTAGCAAGTCCAATTTGCTCCAGATAGGCTTGACTAGAGGGGTAGGGTGTCAAGAAGGTAAGGCTCTCAACTTTTGTTCACGAAGCATAGCATGGTGGATTGTAAGCAACAAAAAAGAATAACTTGAGAGATAATCCATATGGTTAAATTATAAAGGAAAAGGGCATATGAATAAGGGTGCACCACTTTGTCCAATTGGTTAAAGGTTTTGGGATACTTGGGGTTAAGTGTCCTTGGGTTTGAATAGTATTGGGTTGGGTGACTTCCTAGGAAGTCCAAATTCAAGAGCTTACAACTAACTTGAGTGAATACTGATAAAGGATTTAGCAATACTGACCTTCTGCCATCATGTCCCGGGAACTTCAAATTCAAAAGCTTACAACCAACTTAAGTAGAGACTGATAAAGGATCCAACAATATTGACCTCTTGCTATTGTGGCAGTAAAGAAAAAATATCTGAAAAGACTAGCTGATAAATAACTTTTGATACCCATAGTCATATTCGCAATAGCAAGTCAATAAATGATTTTCTCTAATCAGTGTAACAAATTAAGATGTTAGTGGTACCTTTGGGTGTTAGAAGTGAGACTAGATACATGGAGTATTTGGACTAAGATAAGTAACATAAGGTAAATGAGGGTTTATAGAGGTTGTGAGTGAGACTCCTCCAAAAGGTCATAAGCATGGTTAAGTGACTAAAGTAGAATGGAAAATTTAGGCACTTACATTTTTCTAATGGTGGTGTATGTGATTGAAAGTTGTTAGTGTCATAGCTTTTGTAGTTTGGATTTTGTAGTGGTGGTAAGTCTTGCTCTAAATGTTTTAAATCTTATTTTCTTAAGTCTTTAGTTTTTATCGTATTCTTTTGGCTTAATTCTCCCACTTGTGTTTGATTTGTTTTCTCATAATTGTTGATGATGATTCAAAACCCCCCACAAGTCCAAGAAAAGCAAAAGGCAATAAACAAAAGATTTAGATAAGAAGAAAGAAAGAGAAACCAAAGGATTGAAGAGATTAACTTTCTTCATTAGGCTACAATTGATAAAATTACCAATCTTCTTTGAAACCTTAAAGTGGGGGAAGTCTGGTATGTATTGATCATTCTTCTTCCTTCAAACTATTTCTGTGGTAGATTGGAGTATGGTGAAGCTGTAGTATTTATAAAGGGTAGATTTGATGAGTTGAGCTTTAAAAACCTAGTTCCAGGTATATCTATATTTGTATTAATGTTTTAGATTTAAACACTTACAAGACAAGTAGCAAACATGCTTGCTTTATTTGGAATCCAGTTATTACTTTGCCCTTTGCTTTGAGATACACTTTTCAAATATTTGATATTAGAATATTGGATGAATTTTCACCCTATTAGCAACTATAATTGATTAGCCACCTTAGTATGCTTTACCACATAATATGAACCAGCATATCTATGAGAAATTTTGCCAATTTCTTAAGGCACTAGCAATTAATGGCCAAGAGAAGATAACCATGGCAAGGTAAAAGAGATAGACAGAGGATGGATGAAAGCTTTGTGGATCATAGAGCTGTCAATGATCATGCTTGAACTACTTTACAATATGGCACTTGCACCTTATACACTTATATATGAGTCTCTCCTCCATAGAGATTTCACTATTAAATTCATTAAATTCTAGCCTTTTAAGAATTGTAGTGAGTCCTCAATTGTGAAACTCTCTTTGTTTCTTCTTTTTAGTTTCTACCAT